TAGACTGCCCTTTGGGAACATGTTAGGAAAATTAAAATCTTCCAATAGGACATTTTTTCCTTCGTCCCCAAATTAATTATTTCCTGGCAGAGAAATAGGTCATTCTCCCCACTTTGTCCTGGCACATTTCTTCACAGTATCTACAATTCTCTGGAAAATCCACCAGCAAAGTTAATGTGCACAACACATTTCCTTGACTATGACATGTAGTTCCTCCTTGATAAAAACTAGGATGTCTCACCTACCTTTCCACAATGGTCTCTTTTTAGGTTGTGAAACCCTCCAGGTGGATCTTTGGGCCATCTTTGCTGGTTAATCATATTTGGGTTTCGCTGGCTGTTATTGCCTCAAATTCCAGGATCTTATTCCTAATTACAACAACTTGCATTTATATAGTGCCCCTCACAGAGGGTAGCATCCCGGAGCACTTGACAGTGGAGGGGTACAACACCGAGTCAGGGGGAGGGGGAAGATGACTGTAGGCATGGTCGAAGAGGAAGGTAAGTAGGTCAAGAGGTAGGGTGGTGCCAGGGCATGAAGGGATTTGAAAACGAGCGTGAGGATCTTGAAATCTATCCATTCGGATATTACTCTTAACTTTAGTGACTAAGCATCACCCTCATATGTGTGGCAATGGGCTAGCTGGGTCCCCCTATCCTCGGGTTCAATCCAATCTCAAGCATTCCAAATTTTATCTGCGATTCCAAATTCACCTCCGATGTGACCCACACCCTCACAGTTAAATAAGAAACTGCAGAGGATCCAACTGCACAGTAACTGTTTCGTATCACTATCGACCTTGAGACCATGGCTGCCTACTATAATGGAGCCCCCTACACTGGGGACTCTTTGTGACATTGATAGACAGCAGATATGTTTAGCCATTGTCTTGCCAAGTCTATGGCTCTTTTGATATCGTTGACTAAGTCATAGAATAACAGGTTCCCTTGAGGACATCCTACAGAGATTAATATATTAATCCCAGTAAATGGCGTGGCAAACTTTGTTTCTAGGTTATGTGTATTCATAAATGTCACCATAACTAACTAGAAAAATCGCTGAGAGCTTGACCAAACTTGACCAAAAGACACAGATAGAAGAAGCTGGAATGTGCTTGAATGAATTGGCTTGCATATTTACAAATCGTGCACATGTCATATAAATTCATCCATGGACAGGTTTAATTCCTAATATTATGAATGTCAGGGAAATGTTCCAAATTGCCCCAGATTATAAAAGAGATTTCTGAATAGTTGTCAGGAGCAAGAACCCTGGCTGATTTCCTTATCCCTAATCCTATATCTTATTCTTTGACTTAGATGGGGGTTCTGTGAAGACAGCACAGTGACTATTGCCAAGTTTTAAACAGCCTGGCAAGACACACAACACAGATTTTTGTTTACAATATGAATGCCATCAGCATTTTTCAAGGATTTGCATGTATGAAGGTGCCAAGTATATTACATGCCATATGAACGCAACACATGGAACAAAAAAGTATCTATGCCTGTACTTTTCTGTTTAACATTGAATCTTTTACCAAATCTTGTACAGCACCATGTTCCATTAAAGAATGAATCAACAATATTGTTAAATATTTCAAAGGGCGTCAATTACTCTTAACATTTCTGTTGGTCTCCGTTCTTGAAATTTGCTCATTTTAGATTCATTAATGGTAGTAGTCTGACTATAGTTGAAATGAAATAACTTTCATTCACTTGAATATTATCTTTTGTTCCTGTACTCTCCACCTGGCCATCAGCTGGTGTTTTCTGAAAATGTGTTAAACTTGCTAACAATGCACTTGGTCTGAACCCTCTTTAAATAAAAAGTCTGAACAGCAGAAAGCTTAAAGCAGGCTCTGGCAGACTTCCATTGATTACCATCTCCAGACAGAGCCATGTCATTCATCATCATTTTATACCTCCAACTGTCAGTCCTGTGTCCATAATTGGTTGCTTTGCTTCAGATCAATAACCTAATTACTGGTTCTATGCCAAGCCTAGAAAATACAGTATTTTATTATACTAAGCCTAAATAATACACAGTATTTTATTATGCCAAGCCTAGAAAATACACAGTATTTTATTGTGTGTTTGATTGTGCTTTGGGACATAGTGACGACATGGTAAGACAAGGATCTATCAAAGGCAAGGATTATTATTATAAGCCAACTAGGCTAATATTAAAACCATTTATTGTTTGTGCATGGTTCAAATACCAATACTGAAAACTATCTCATACATCACCAGAGATTTGACCAGTTCTGTCAAGTCTACTGGGGCTAATTGGCATATCCATGGAGAAGGGCAAAACTGCTGAAGAAGACCACATATTTGATGAAGGGGAACACACCATTACCCTCAACAAGGCAAGACATGGGCCTTATAGTGCTACTGAATGGACAGTTAACCACATACTTGTGGTAGAAACCTCAAGTACAACTCTATACTTGTCTTAGAAGTTGGATGCACTGCCAGTGTAGAGCAAGATACACATAAGCAAGAATTGAAAGGTCATTGACTCCTCCACCAGACATTTAGAATTCCCAGGAAGAAAATATTCGAGTGCTTTATGAGACAGTGCAAAATCTCCATTCCTCTGTACAGATACCCAGATGCATGGTGACATTACAAGAAGAACTTGCAATTATATAAAGCAGCCTTCACATTGCATAATACATAACTGCATTACTAAACTAACTGAGACACAGTCACTTCAACATATTAGCTATGCTGTCAGTCTGTTTACCATACTGAGAAGAAACCAGCAGACCACTTCCTCACAGTTCCAAAACATAATAATAATCATTGCATTTAATATAGCACCTTATCACATCTTTGAGAAGTCTCAAAGTACTTCACAGAACATACTGTAAAGTGTAGTGACTGTACATTTTGTGGGCAAAAGCATTCAGAGCTCCCGTGAATTCTTTAAAAATAAGTCTGCACATGGTGGCGGGCAGCAATTAATTCTACTGTGGCTGATTAAAAACACCCAATTTAAAGTTGGACACCGTGTATGGTCTTGTGAATGCAGGATCTTCAGAAAAAGGTGACAGACAGCCCTTCCAACCATCTGCAAATAAAACAAATCTAAGTACTTGTCAGGTACAATAAAATCAAAGATGTGAAAATATTTAAACTGTTCCAGTCCTTTTATTATAAATTTGCCACATAGCTTTACAGAAGTACACTACATTGCAGTTTCAAGGATGCTGCCAGTCACAGTGGTATAACTCATGCCAGTTATGTTGCTTACAAAGAATGTACAGCACAAAAGCAGGCCACTCAGTCCAACCAGTCTGTGCTGGTGTTCATACTCCACACAAGTCTTCACTCTCTCCCATACCCTTCCATTCCACTCTCCTTCATAGGAAGGCCAAACTTCCTGTTGAATACATCTGTACAAACAGCTAGCAAGTACCACAATCTCAATACCTTCAGTATGAAATAGTTCCTCCTAAATTCTTTTAGATGACGTAATTGCTATCTTATATTCGTGTCCCTCTGGTTCTGGGCTCCCCAACCAATGGAAACATTTCTGGTGCTAATTATAGTAGTAATAACTACTATTGATGGTGCCAGTTTCAGCGATGAGTGTCACTTACATGTTAGGTGAATACACATCCGCGATTTTTGGGAACAGTCCCCAGATGAGGTGTTGTGTCCCCGGGGCCAAATTTGCCCTGCCTTGAGTTCAGTAACAAACTGAGCAAGAACAATAAACTTCTAAAACAGATACGCTCATCAGAGAAATACCTCCACTAATCTAACAAGCTTCTCCAGTACTGCCAGCATCGGCAATTGTGGTGATTTAAAAGTTTTAAAAAGATATATCGTGCTTCAGATGGGATGTTGAATTGAGGTCCCGCCTGCCTGTTCAGGTGGACGTTAAGATTCCCACAGCACTATTTGAAAAGAGAAGGGAGTTTCTCGCGATGCCCTGACCACCAAATCCCTGAAATAAAATTGGTCATTGGTCTGTTTTAGAAGTTTATTGTTCTTGCTCAGTTTGTTTCTTTGACCGTGCCTTCAGCTCCCCTCTCGACTCTCTTCCCCCTCCTCGCTCCCTCCCTTCCCTCCCCTCACCCTGACCATTTCCCCCCTGCTCGGGTCATGACCCAACTGTGCAGCGCTTTGGGACGTCCTCCTGACGTGAAAGGCGCTTTATAAATGGAATCTTGTTGTTGTTGTGTTGTCATTGACTTGACGGCTGTTTGTGGGACGTTGCTGTGTGTAGAACTGGCTGCCGCGTTTCGCCCAGAAAACACACACCAGTCCAAGCCACTTTACAGTAATATCCTGTGAAGCGCTTTGAGACGTCTCAGTGACGCGATAAGACGCTGCATCGACGACGACAACAAAATGCACTTGCGGCGTGGCTTTCGCGCCAGGAGGACGTCCCAATGGGCTGGACAGTTGGGGACCCGCACCCGAGCTGGTGGTTGGGAACGTGGAGGGTAGAGTGGGAGGGTGACCCACAGCGCGGTCGATGAGGAGGGGTCTCGAGACTGGTATCAAACGCAAAGGATTGTTACGATGACGACCGCTTGCTATTGATGGGGAGGGGGAGTGTGTGTGTGTGTGTGTGTGGGGGGGGGGGGGTCAGTTGGTAGTGATGATTGCCACTGACAGTGGTAGGTAGGGCCAGTTGGGGTGTGGGGGTGGTGTGTGTGTTGTTTGTGTGTGTGGGGGGGGGGTCAGTTCTGGTGAATGAGGTGTGAGGGACGTGGCGCCGAGAGGGTTAAGGCGGCGCCTTTCCCACAATGCCCCGGGCGGGCGGCGGGAAGCTGCTGCTCGGAGACGCGGGGCCTGTCAGCGCGAGCGGCCGGGAGGCGCGGGGTAAGTCAGTCAGTCAGGCAGCGAGTGGCCGGGGCCCGGCGGGGGCTGCTCTACTCTCCCCTTACCTGAGGTACGGGAGGTCCGCGGGCCGGACCAGGCCTCAGGGGGAATCGGGCGCCGAGGTTTATTTTTTTTTCGTACCCCCTTTGTTTGCAGGTCTCTCTCTCTGACGGGCGGGAAGGAAGGGAAGAAGATGTCGGGAAACTACCGGTGGGGAGGCTCCAGCGGCGGCGGCGGCGGGGGCGGCGGAGGCGGCGGCGGCGGCAGCGGCGAGAGTCGCATTTACGTGGGCAACTTGCCGACCGACGTGCGGATCCGCGACATCGAGGACATCTTCTACAAGTACGGCAAGATCAGGGACATCGACCTGAAGAACAACCGCGGCATCGCGCCCTTCGCCTTCGTGGAGTTTGAGGACCCGAGGTGAGCAGCCCGGGGGGGGGGGGGGGGGGGGGGGGTTACTGTGCTCCCAGGCTTGTCCCGAGTCCAGCACACGGCAAGGCCCGGTCCGGTCCGGCTTTCCCAGCGCTCTCTCTCTCTCTCTCTTCTCTCTTCTCTCTTCTCTCTCAGTCAGTAATCGGATCACGAGCAAAAGCCGCTTTGAAGAGAGCCGGTGGGGCGGCTCTGGAATCCCGACTTCATTCCCAGTCCTGCCGTGCTCCTTCCCCCTCCCACTCAGTTCCCAGTCTCTCTTCTCCCTCCCTCCCCCCCACAACTGGTTACCAGTCTCTCTCCCCCCCCCCCCAACCCCCACCTTCTCATGGTTCCCAGTCTCTCTCTCCTCCCGCCCCCTTGGTTCCCACTTTCTTCTCCCACCCCCCCACTTTGGTTCCCAGTCACTTCACCTCACCCTCTCCCCCAACCTTGGCTCCCAGTCACTTCATCTCCCCCCACACCTCTCCTTGGTTCCCAGTCTCCTCCCCGCCCGTGGTTCCCCATCTTTCTCTCCCATACGCCCCCCGTTCACAGTCGTCGTCCCCCCTTAGTTCTTGCGTCCCCATCTCCTCATTCGTCCACATCTCCCTCCTCTGTACCACCACCCCCATACCCGACTCCCTCTTCTCTCCCCCATGGCCATTTTCTTTTCTCTTCCCCCAGCTGCCATTTTCTTCTCTGCCCCTGCTTGTTTCCCCCTCTTTGCCCCCCCTTCTCTCCCTGCCCCGTCCGCTCCCCTTTCTCTCTTCCTCCACTATCGTTTCCCTTCCTCCGTCCACCTTCTCCCCCCCCCCCCCATTTTCTTTTCTATCTCACCCGCCTTGCTCTTCCTCCTCCTCCTCATTTACCGCCCCCTTTCTCAGGTTATGGTTGGGCACCACTGCTATGAAATTGATCATTCTGCATTGTTTATTGTGTTACAGTTTGCCAGTTGAACTGAAAAGGGGGGTGGAGGAAATCCCTCCCCACCCCCCTTATGATGGCGTGAGATCAGGGATGAAAACCCCCGGCTGATCTCTTTATCACCCTCACCACGTTGAATTCCCAACTTGGCCCTGCTGAGGCCAGCAGTGTAATTGCCAGAATATTTTGCTATATTGTGTTTTAAATTTTAAGTTGCATTAGTTGTATATTTAGTGGAGTTAAACTGAAAAATTAGTGCGCAGAATCTTCTCTACTGATTCAGTTGATGAAGTTGAGAAAGGATGAGTTATTGGGTCACTGATCTAGCAAAGCAAGACCTCTTCCCCCTTTGGGGGAGAGGATTCCCATCCTCTATGCTCCCTTCTTAAAACGGAATTGGCATGTTTTCACTACAAGTCTTGGCTCTTGCCAACCTTTGCTTTTTGGAATTAGGTAAGCAGGATATGTCCCTCCAGGGAGAGAGTGCACATACCATTACAAAAATATAGCTGGAATTTCTGTGTGTAGGTTGGGTGGGTGGGATTTTCGGTTTTGTTTGGATACTCAAGCATGGTGATGGGTTTCCGCGCGTGTCACACACCCGGCTGCTGACACTCCCCAAAAAACTTATCTTGCTTCTCCCTATCTCTGTAATCATCTAAAACATTACCAACTCCACCATCGGCGGATGGGCCTCCAGCCTTTCTGACGCTATACTCTGGGTAGCGTCCTGGAGGGCTTAAAGTCGCAGCAACAAGGTCACACATAACACGTAAAGTATGAATGCCACTGAACTTCCCTTCAGTCATAAACGTTCATTTTAAAGCATTGACACACTTTGGATGAGGACTAAATTGGAAAATCTGCAAACAGAAGTAAAATAAGTTTTTACAGTGAATGTGAGTACATGTTTCCTCGCGTGATTGATTTTTGAGAGGTGGAGGGCATCACAGTCCGAACTCCGGTTTTACCCCTTCTGGTATTTTGATTACGATTGACCTTGGTGGAAGCATTCAACCGAATTGTCTACAATATTTACCTTCTCTTGTCAGAGAGTGATGTAGCTTAAAGCAGTGAAAGTGACACATTTTGGAGACAAAAGCTGAGTCCTTCATTGTTAACGTTGTCTTGGTAACAAAATAATTTTAACACCCCCAAAAAATTAGTGATATAGTATTTTACTGTATCATATGATGATGTGAGGTTGCTGTTACATTTTCCACAACTGTTGGCCATCTTGAAACATTACAATTGCAAGTGCAGACCCCAAAACACTGTGTCATGGAGCTTGTAGGTCATTGATACAGCAAATATTGAAACTATAACAAAACATCCATCAGTCATGGGGAGACAAGAACTGACAGCACTTGGGTTTCCCCACGTCAGTTGGGAGGAGTGCTTCCCTCTTGTTACACTGTTCTGTTTTTTTTTGTCAGCCGGGTGTCTGACACATACAGAAACTCATCACCATGCTTAAAAATATCCAAACCAAACTGAGAATTCCACGCATTCCACCTCCATATGGAAAGTCGAGAGATGTTTATTGCAATGGAATGTGCACTGTCTCCCTGAAGTATTAGGTTGACTCTTGCGCAAGTTGGCAAGAGTCAGGGATTGGGGACCCCAATGTATGTGTTTGGGTACTGCTGGAGTCTGACCAGCTGAAACCGTATAACTTGCCTTTGAGAGCACTACCTGGCAAGTTTTCCCGGTGCTTGTCCTGCTAGAACCACCCTACCCGTTCGAATTTAGCTTGCAGAGGGAATGACTGGTTTGTCCTCCAAATTCCTGCCGGTGAGCCAACCTGGTTGCGGTTGTGCCTGGCCCAGGAACTGGATCATCGAGTCCAAAACAGAGGGTGGGCTCGATTTATGACGTTCCTTTGCCAAACATGTCACCTTGGAGCCGGTTCAGCAACCCCCCAGTAGGATGTAATGCAAACAGAACGCCGATCCACCAGCCTTTAAAAATAATTCTGGATGTACTGGGAGTTACAACATAACTACAGTAGTTGCAAGGAGCATTCTGTCAGATTCTACAACTGAATATGTTCAATAAATGAGGCAACTGTTCATCTGAACAGACAGCGTTTCAAGCTCCATAATAAATATTTTGGAAGGGTATAATGCAATTATCTTCTTTTTTTAAACAATAATTGATCTTTGCAATTGATATAGCACTCAGAAAGGAGGTCTCAATGCGGTTCACAAAGTTTCTGTAAAGTACAGTTTCTGTAAAGTGTCTGTAGGCACATATCAAAGTTCCACAAACAGCCATGAAGTGAATAACCAATTTCATTTGCCAGGCAGCTGGCCATTACACTGGGAGAAACACCCATCACTTTTCAAAGAATACCATGAGATCTTATTGTTCACCTGAACAGGAGGCTAGGACCTCTTGTTTAACATCTCATCTGAAGGAAGATGTCTTTGAGAATGCAACAACAACAACAAGATTCCATTTATAGAGCGCCTTTCACGTCGGGAGGATGTACCCAGTGCTATGTCGGTGTGTTTGCCTACAGTAAGACCTCAAAGTTCTGACCTGGGGCTTGAACCCAATCTTCCAACCCTGAGATGATAGTTTTTTTTCTTTTAGTGATGCTGGTAACAATTTGAACGGGGATCCTAATGGAACAGCTCTTAAGAAATAGAAAATCATGTGCTAGAGTCATTGGCCAAATTTCTCTCATACTGTGATGGTGCCTACCAGACGAGTCAGCCCAGTTCTGCTAAGTCTATCAATACTTCTTCCAGTCTGTTGCATAATTTACTAATGTGCATGCTGTTGTGTGTTGCAGCTGTAATCTTCACAATCCTATTGTTGTATTCTGTACTGCATGTCTTCCTGATGTGAGTTTGCTCCTATAAAATATCTCACAAGCAGATTGACTTTAGAATTGTATAATAATAAAAGTATTCCTTGCATTTGATATTAAGCCTTATTACATTGTTGAGACGTCTCAAATGGCATCACAAAATGTATTGTAAAGTGTATTGACTGTGTATTTTGTGTGTGAAGCATTATTATTATATTATTAATATTGGTATTCATAATATTGTGGAGTCCTGCAGCTCAGTGGTTAGAGCACGTGCCTTGCAAGCGAGCCACCTGGGTTCAATTCCAGGCAGAGGGCGAAACCTTGGGCAAGTTTCCTTACTCCACACACCTAATAATAATCCCTCCAAAACAAAAACAATAATAAATTGGTCATTTTCAATCCACGACTGTTTGTGGGACATTGCTGTGCGCAATTGGCTGCCGCGTTTCGCCCACAAATATACGGTTAATTCACTTTACAGTCTATTCTGTGAAGCGCTTTGAGATGTCGAGAAGACGTGAAAAGCGCTATATCAAATGCAAGGATTATTATAATAAAAAGAATTCATGTTAGTAACAGAGTAAACTACATCAGTCATTGTGTTACAGGTAAGGAAGAAATTCCTCAAATAGTGGGAAATCATGGATAGTTTTGAACTGCATAATTCTAACTTCTTCCCTCTCTTTGGCAGGGATGCCCAGGATGCGGTGTATGGGAGGAACGGATATGACTATGGAGTCTATCGTTTGCGGGTGGAGTTCCAGAGAGGGAGAGGCGGGGGAGGAATTGGTGGATCCAGAGGAAGGCCAGGACCTCCTGCACGAAGATCAGAATTCAGAGTTATCGTCTCCGGTGAGTTTTATTCCATGTTTAATGGCGTTTTTTTCTTTGGTCCCAGTGGGTAAATGTATTCTGTAACTTCACACATTTAAGAAATAATAAATTTCCCGTAGGAGTCCTGCAGCGTACTGGTTACTGTGCACTACTCGCAAGCTCGGGGTCCTGGATACGATCCCTGGCAGTGCGAAACCTTAGGCAAATTTCCTTACTCCACATGCCTCTGTTTACCTAGCAGTAAGTAGGAAGCTGGATATTAGTCGATTGGCAGATTGCTTTCCAGGGGTAATAATCCCTCCAGAATTCGTAAGAGTATCCAAACCAAACTGAGAATTCCCATGCATCCAACCTACATGTGGAGATTCCAGAGATAGATTAATGAAATGAATCAATCTGTTCTGAGACGCAGCATTAATTGAAACGTGTCCTCAAGACCTGCAACTGTTGAAGCAAATGGATCAGACTCACATTCTTTCTGGATTGGATACTGTTAAACATGATGATGGGTTTCCGCACGTGTCAAACACCCAATTGACCAAAGAGAAACCTTGAAAGCAATTGATATTGCTTTTGCTTAACCTTCACCAATTTTTCCTCAACTTGCCCATTTATAAAGAAGGACATCGGCTTAGTAGCTTGTATTCATCCTAAACTGTAGGTCCATCTCTCAGGGGAGTCAATGTCATCTTCACTTATAGAATGAACCAGTTCCACCTTTCTTTCCCATTCCATATCCATCCTCTTGTATGTCATGACTTTTACTGCCTTAATATTTCAATACAATTGTACACTGTATAAAAAATAGAAAAAAAACAGCTTGTGACTTGGTGCTGGGTCATATCAGTGTCGTGCTAACCCTGCCAACGTTCTGCATCACATAAAACTTGGCAGCTGAAGGTAGAATTTTTTTTAAAAAAAAGAGTTTGCATATAAGTTGAGGCGAAGTCTACTGGTTTATGAAGTTTGAAAATCTACAAGTGCAGAGAGCAATTGCAGTCTTAGCCTGGATGAGATATTACATCCTATGAGTCACACAAGTGCTGAGGATATTGGAGATTGGTCCTAGCAGAAAGGAAAAGTTAGTTTATCCTTTGAATTAGTATCGTTGCTTTATAGAATTTGAGAAATGAGCAGTTGACTTGCCCAATGCATATGAAACCCCAGGTGTTGGTTATACCATGGACGGGAAGGTGGTAGAGGCTTTAAAATGTTAAGATACTACAGTAATTAATGGTTTTATCTTGCTCATTTCTGATATTGACTTTTATGCTAACCAAGAGCTGAGAAGAAAAAAGGTCTTTAACTAATTGAAATAGACTGGTCTTTGAAACCCTGTGAAAATCAGAATTATACTGTCCTGTGAAGGGGGGTGGGGTGAAGAGGGACAAACCATCAAATATTGCTCATATCCATTCAGTGAACTGTTATCAGACCTGTATTTCTGCAGCAGAATAAGGATCAGCACATTAACACACAATACTCCTTGAATACGCCAAGTTATTCTACATAGAGAATACATTTAGCCACTTGGAACAAAGAAAAATCAGATTTAAGAATCTATGGAAGCATTACAACAACAACAACTTGCACTTACATTGCGCCCTCCACGCAGGGTAGTGTCTCAGAGCACTTAAGCATGGAGTTACAGAATATATAAAGTATACGGTGCTATTCCAGTCAATTTTCAATCCTGATTTCTTCAGATTTTAATTGGTTCTCTTAGCTTTCTAATCTGTATTGAGATTTTTCTTCATACCTGATCCTGTTAATTTTCTTATTTTTCTGTTCACAAATTATTTTCTCTTGCCTTGTTCATAATGGAAAGTAGGAACAAGAGCTGACTCAACCAGATAGGGAATGCACATTACTGAGAATCACCCAATGCAGGTGTTTCATTCAAAATGTTCACTCAGCAGTGAACTCACTTGTGTACTCCATGTTATAATATACAAGGCGAATTGGGCTGATTTAATTTAAGGGAAAATAACTCAAGACATTTTCGTGGAGTCCTGTAGTGTAGTGGTTAGGGTGTTCGCTTTGCGAGCGAGAATACCTGGGTTTGATTCCCAAGTGGGGTGAAAACAGTAGGTAGGAATCTGGTTGTTAGTCAATTAGTGGATCGTTTTCTGGGGCTAATAATCCTTCCAAAAATAAATCACTCAATCCATGACTGTTTGTGGGACATTGTTGTGGCAATTAGCTGCCCCATTTTGCCCACAAATTACACAGTCAATTCTCTTTTGATATATTCTGTGCAGCTCTTTGAGACATCTCAACAACATGAGAAGACGCTATATCGAATGCAAGGATCATAATTATTATGGGAATGGATAGAAATGGTTCAACAGTGGAAATTGTCATCAGTTGAGGCAGACGCTTCATTTGGACTGGGTACACACATCCTCTTCTGAAAACGAGCATAATATAATTTCAAGTGAAATATTATTGACTCAAAGGGTGAGAATGTGATTATTTCTACATTTGCGTAGAAATACTGTCACATCTCATTTTGCTGTGTTGTTTTGCTGCGTAGGGCTACCTTCCTCCGGCAGCTGGCAAGATTTGAAAGATCACATGCGAGAAGCTGGCGACGTTTGCTACGCAGATGTTTTGGGAGACGGTACGGGAGTGGTGGAGTTCCTCCGCAAGGAGGACATGGACTACGCGGTGCGGAAGCTCGACGATACAAAATTCCGCTCTCACGAGGTTAGTTCATTCTCTCTTGTCTTGCACAATTCCCGCGGCTTGTCGGGTGGGGTCATGGGTATCAAGTTTTGAAACATTGAACCTTTCGCAAAATCTGAACAGTGTTGCCTCCGCAGTGAATGATGTACAGTCTTTTGCTTTTAATTTACTCGAGGTTAAAAGAAACTAGTGTTTCGGTAAGTGGAACTTTGGTCGACGAAACATATTGTATGATTGGTCTCTTAACATCATGGAAACAAAAACAGGAGTAGGCCATTCAGCCCCTCGAGCCTGTTCTGCCATTCTGTAGGATCATGGCTGATCTGTACCTATGCAAATATATTTGTGATGAAAGTAGCTATTGCAAGATAATTAGGAAAGGAAAAATATTTTTCAAAATAGTGTTTTGCAGTAGTTAATGTAAAAATATCGTCGCTATGTTGGGGAAACATTTTCTAGGATGATGTCTTCAGGGTAGATGTCAAGAGTACAACTCCAAGGAAATGTTACTTGCTCTCCATCACCCATTAGTGAAACCACATGTGGATACTGTTTGTTAAATGTACAGAGGGTTGTACTCCTTGGAAGAAAGGATAATGGATGATTTCACGTTTCAGATCATCTCAACTGTGAAAATAAGTCTATATTAGTTTGAATGATGTGGGTTCTTGGGGAATGTCGTGTGATCCAAATTTTAAAATAGCGAGAGTGATCAAGAGTGTTCTGTGGTCTCCGATGTGATCCATAGTCTGTGCTATCAGCCAGGGTAATTGTAATTGATCCTGTAAGTTAAAGAAATTTGGTATCACTGTGGAATCTCAATTATCCACCAGCATGAATTCTGACCAAGTATATACAAACACCTCTGCTAATCAGAGGCAAATGCCAGTTCTTTTTTAAAGTTAGCAAAGACCCACTCTAGTTAAAAGTGGTCCGATTAACTGCTCAAGAAGTTGCAGAGACCATTTTTGAGTACAGAACTGATTTGATTTCCACGACTGTTTGTGGGATACTGCTGTGCGCAATTGGCTGCCGCGTTTCACTCACAAAATCTAGTTAATTCACTTCAGATTCCATGAAGTGCTTTGAGACGTCTCAATGATGTGATAAGGTGATATATCAAATACAAGTATTATTATTTCCTCCTGCATTTAGACTACATTGATGCAACTAGCTTTCCTATCAACACTTCAAACATTCCTTCCTCAAAATGGAGCAAATCATTTTGTGATCGAGAGCCTTGAGGTTGTCAGCTCCCTGATTTCCTGTCAGTTCACTTCAATTGTCTGTCAGGCTTTAAACGCTAAACCTCGATGGTTTAATAGGAAGCTGAAGTATTGTAAGATTAGAGGCAAAGTGAAGAAATTGAAAGGAAATATGGAGTGTAAAGGTCGGGATGAATTTCTTGCAAACTTTTTTATTGCATCACATAAAGACGCTGACCTACTTTTCAGAGGTATCCAGATTATAAATATATTGTATTGTTTTCCTCTGGGCTGCCATCTTTCTAATGGATCTGTGAAAACCTCAGTCACTCTGATCTAATTCACTGTCTAACCTCCACAACCGCATTATCTCTTGCAGCCCAACTTGTTTTTGTAAATCCTATCTCAATAAAGGAAATTGTGAAAGTCATTTTAAACTGTTATATATATCCAAATTTGTTGTTTCCTTCATAACTTAGTGAATGATTGAACAATACAGATAATATAAATGTAGTCAGGCTTTAATGCTCGCTGGTCCTTGATGTGCCTTGTTCTCCTTGAATAATAATCCTTGCATTTGATATAGCACCTTATCATGTCATCGAGACGTCTCAAAGCGTTTCACAGGATATACTGTAATGTGGATTACTGTTTTGTGAGCAAAATTCCCTCCTTTCACCCTCTCCCAAAAAAGCTGACGAAATTCCCCCAACGGCTCAGTAACCTTACCCAGTGGTAGAAAATCCATACAGACTGTGAAGATGCAGTGTTTGCTCCTAATCTGTGCTGCGTTAACTAGTCACACACTGGTGAAGTGAATGGCCTCATCGTGCTTGTCATGGTTCTTGCTCCTGATCTGTAAGGAGTCGCCAATGCTGGAGATGGACTCATGGCAACAGCATTGAGCTTGGCTTGATGCCCTGCAGTTGAGTATTCTACCAACCCTCACTGGCAAGGCACACGTGATGAATGGTCATTCGGTCGAGTTATCAGAGGGTGAGCAGCTCGAGTGGAAGTGTTTTACACAGTAGAAGCCAAGATGAGGAAGGGAAGAGAAAAAATAGCAAGATAATTTTTTTTTACAAAGGTGGTTGAGTACAGAGCCATAAGTCTAGATTCCTATGTCCTACGTAGGGAAAAGCACACAAGAGTCTAGAACCCTAACATTGTCTGTGAGTTTACATTTGACTATTTCTTTTGCCTCCCCCCACTGCAGCCAGTATGCTACAGAGGAGATCCAGTTCTCCTGCAATTGATCCTGTCAGGCTCAGACTGCACGTAATTTAATCTATGGCTGAGATACTCCAAAGGACTGTCCACAGCTGTTTCGTGAAAAAGATCTGGGACCCTTCCACTTCATCACAACACACGGATGGCTAAGAAGCTTCTTCTGTTGTCCCTGCACTCACTTCCTTTATGGGAAAAGCCCGAGCAGTTCACAGACAGCCCGGGAGCCCTTCAAATTCTTGTATTACTGGCTTCCAGAATAGGTGAATATTTGGACACTTGCGTAAAGAGTAAAGTAAAACCGCGTTCATCATGAATAATAATAATAATTTGGTGACTCAATCCACGACCGTTTGTGGGACACTGTTGTGCGCAATTGGCTGCCGCGTTTCCCCCACCAAATACAAAGTCAGTTCACTTTACAGTATATTCTGTGAAGCACTTTGAGAGGTCTCAACGTTGTGTTAAGGCGCTATATCAAGTGGAGATATCCTAGAGTGATTGGCGAGTTGGCAGATGGCTTTTTTAATGCTTGCTGCAGCTTCAGGAGAGTATTTGGGGCAGGGCTTGTACAGTAAAGGAGTGCTGTGTTATATTAAATTGACCTATTTACAGTAGTCTAGCTAGAGTGACCAAGTAAAATTAATGAGAAATTATAAGTTGCTCATCTGGTGGTGGACACCGTTCAGTTTGACCTCCGTCGTCTTGAAGTTTCTACTTTGCCTTTTTTTTTTGCCTCTTTCCCGTTTCCAACTCACCTTAACAATGTTCACAGCCTCAGCGCAGACGAGGATTGGAACTTGTAGCCTTCTGGTCTGTATGGCTCAGTATTATCACAATGATGCCTTTAGCCTGTGGCTAAGGTTTGGTTAGTAAACATTAAATGCATTATCTCCTGCGGCGAGTAATATATTTTTACCTCAAATGGTGTCTTAAATTCTGCCCCACATAAAATCTCAAAAAGGAACTTTTGTTCCACCCAATCCTCCAGCCAGGCAGAAGGGGACTATGTTACAATAGAGAGTGTGTTGAGGTATTCAGCAAAATACCTTGGCTGTTGGTATATGGGACAAATATTTTGGCTTTATTTATAAACAGATTGTTTTATCAGGCACATCACATCCCGAAACTAGCTTGGAGGATCAGTTACAGTAGGGTCTACTACAGTATATGGATTATTTTTGCTTTACAGGATCTCTGTTAAGGTAACTTCCTAGAGCAATTCCAACATCTTCACTACTTTAGCTCAAGTGTGATTCTGGAAAAGTATTGATCTCCTCTTCTACTCTCTGGTAGCACAGGCAGACTGTTAAAGAATGACTGTCAAAGGAAGCTGTGTGTAGTATATGGAGATTGGCTCCTGTTGTTTCATTTGTACAGTAAAACTTGCATAAGTCGTATCAGTTGGGACCCTAACATTTAATATGACTTGAGCGAAGTCCAAATTCAGGCAAACTATAAATCGTATAAAATCCGATTTAATCAATAATCTACACTATGTGTGCGTAATTCAATGCAGCCGGTAGGTGCGCATGTGGCGATGGGTCAGGACTATTTTTCCTGCGGTTCAGTGCAGCCTGTAAGTGCAGGGGTAATGGAGGATAGGGGAGCGGCATTGGGAGGTGATTAATACAAGTACAAAGAACTCTTAAGTGGTTTTGATCGGAAACTGAATAGGACTTGGGTGAATATAGACTTTGGCGATTATACCTCTGTGACCTCCAACCTGCCTGCTCCCTCTGCTCAGGTGGCTCCGGCCTGCTTCAAGGCCTTCAGCCATTCTTTTCCCCCATCCTCTGGAACTCCATCCCGCGGTTCCACCACCTCGCCCATCTTTGCCTCCTTCAAAACCCGTCTCAAACTCTGCTCTTCGACCGTGCCTTCAATTACCCTCCACCCTCCCTGATCCCGACCCCCAGCTCAGGTCTGAAACACTGAGTGTCCAGCGTCTTGGGACACCCTCCTGACTTGAAAGGCGCCATACAAATGTAATGTTGTTGTACGATTTATAAAGATAATACTTGTGCAAGTTTTACTGTATTTCACTAGACTATAATCGGACAGGTCCCTCTGGACTGGTTGGATTTCTGTGACAATACACTTACCTGTTTATACCAGCTATATTTTAGATGGAGGGGGTGGGAGCGGGAGAAAATACTTTTTACGGTCATAGTTTATCTATTTGCCATGGACAGAAAGGAGTGTAACCTAGTGGAAGTCATCAAGATTATACATTTTATTTAGTGAAAATTGCTACAAATTCATTCTGCAAAATGTTATTTTGGTATAATGGATTACTTGCTGTCTGTCTATAAAACAGCTGTAAAGGAAAAATTGACATTAAAATACTGGAATCTTGCTTGTACTATTCATTTAGTTCTGTGTTGGGGTCCTATAGAGTAGTGGTTAGCGCCCTCAGCTCACAAGCATGAGGACCCGGGTTTGATTCCTGGGCGGGACAAAACCTGAGGCAAGTTTCCTTACTCCCACACACCTGTTTGCCTTGCAGTAATTAGGAACCCGGTTGTTAGTCGATTGGCGGGTCGCTTTCCGTGGATAATAACCCTCCCCCTCGCCCCCACAAAAAGTATTCAATCAATCCACGACTATTTGTGAGACACTGCTGTGCACAATTAGCTGCTGCATTTCAATTCTCAATTCACTACAATATATTACGTGAAGCGCCTTGTGACAGCCCAAAGCCATAAGGCACTATATCAAATTCAAGTATTATTATTGTACTCATTACTTTCTGTGTATTCCATAGATTGTGTGTGCGCGCGCGCATGCAGTGTTCATAGCATTAACGGTGACCATTTCTCTTACAGGGAGAAACAGCTTATATTCGAGTGCGTGCAGACAAACCCAGAAGTTCCAGTTACAGCCGATCAAGATCAAGGTCTCTTTCAAGAGGTCGTTATTCTCCTTATCGTAGCAGAAGCTCCCCTCGGTATTCACCGAGATCCCAATATAGATGAGGACTTGCATAGTCAAAACTGATTTTCTTTTAACCCACATTCCATCACGGCAGTTAGTTTTCTTCGATTCAATATTTCGGGAGATGCTTTGAAATAAACTTGTGTTTTCTTTTTTATTGACTCTTTCAGTCACCTTGTAGTTCTGCCTACTTTATCTGCCTCCACAGCAAACTTAATGTATGTTGTTTGTTCACAACAAGATTTGCTTGTTAAAGCTACTGCCTGCCCAGTGTGAAGGTGAGCCACATATAAACCAGGAATTATTGATTCGATCTCCAGTCTGAATAAAGTCTTGAGATAGCTGGCATTGGTTAGGATGGGACGAGGGTGACTACACAGATGCAAGTTATTGCAATTGGCCTTTTTTGCCTAGGGAGATGAAATAAACAGTCTGGGTTATTTATCCCTCTTGATTGCTATCAAATTATCTTGTGTAGAAAATGCGCGAGTGTGGTTTTGGTGAGGAAGGGTTGGACTTGGTTTTTTTTCCCCCTTGGACAAATGAGTTGTTGGCTAGGCTTGATTAAAGGATGGTCACTTGGATGAGGGAATGGGCACTTAATATGGTATCATTGATCATCCGTGTGCAGAATTGCCTATAGTCATTACACTTGGCAGCACTGAAGTGCTTTTAGACACTTTAATGTTATACAGCCAAGTGGTGATAGTTCAATATTGCCACTTTTATCATGTCCATTCCCTTTCCCCAAGTTGCCTATGAATGCAAGGATTATTATCTGCTCGAGTTAAGGGAAACGGGGTGGGGGGGGGGAGGTTTAAAATAAAATTAGTTGTAGTTAAATGTCTTTTCGTCACCATCTTCTGAATGTGTTTTGATTTGGTTCTTTTCCTTGGGTGTCGTTCGATTAGCACATATTATCCTTCGAGATCTCGCAGAAGTTGGCGTTATTCATGTAGAGTGTGACCCTCAAGGGAACAATGTCAGGTTGAACCAAATCTTGCCTCGTTTGCTATCCATACACACAAATATCTTTCAGCCACCTGCTCTATCACAGCTGCCGGCTCTGTGTACTATTCAGCCACTCATTCCGCAACTCAGCTGTTTAAAGAAACCGGTTAACAAATACACAAAAGTGTGTTTATTATCTGAGTGAAATCTAGCAGTCACTTCCTGCAGGGACGTGAGCATTTTTAAAAAAAAGTTGCCGAATGATTTGTTTCAAAGTATCCAAGGAAAATGAATGCCAATATTCTCAGAATTATTGTATGGAAATGGAAGACATCATGTTGCCATGTTTTGTCCACAAAATACACAGTTAATTCACTCTACAGTATATTCTGCGAAGTGCTTGGAGATGTCTCAATGACATGATAAGGTGCCATATCAAATGCAAGGATTATTATATTTAAGTATGCTTTTTCCTTGTTGAGCTTGGGGAGGGAACCAACAAGAGCAGAGTTTGGCAGATGAATCCACACGCCTAATAATAATCCCTCCAAAAACAATAATAAATTGGTCATTTTCAATCCACGACTGTTTGTGGAACGCTGCTGTGCGCAATTGGCTGCCGCGTTTCGCCCACAAATATACAGTCAATTCACTTTACAGCATATTTATGAAGTGCTCTGAGATGTCTTGAAGATGTGAAAAGCGCTACATCAAATGCAAGGATTATTATTATTAGAGCAGGCAAATTGAGTGGCCGCTAACTAAAGAGATCACTGTAAATGACTGCCGTGTAAGCAACCAGCAGAATTATTGCAATAAGTCAATATTGTCAAATATAAAGGGTTTCTGTCATTGGAATGGAAATAGTAAAAAAATCATGCATTGTGGCTTTCCATTCATGCATGGCTTAACATTTCCCCGATTATTTTCACAATAATATGACAGAATTTGTGGAATAGCCACACGTGTGCTCATTTTATCTGTGTCCATTCCCTTTCCACAAATTTAGCTACGAAAACAAGTCTTGTGACTCATGAAATGGATTGAGATGTTTCGACATGATGTGGCATTGTTAAAACACTATCTTTTAGGACAAGAAAAACATTTTTATTTGAAAGGTTTCTCTAAAATCCTCAAACTCCACATTCAATGGCCATTGTCACCATCTTCTGAACGTGTTTTGATTTGGTTCTTTTCCTTGGGTATCAGTCGACCAGTACATTTTACCCTTTGAGACCTTGCACAAGTTGGCATTATTCATACAGAGTGTGACCCTCAAGGGAACAATGTCAGGTGATTTCAAGCAGTCTATGGGAAAGACTGAATTTCAAATCCTTCCAGTTTAAGAATGATTTACTTCTTTGATAAATATTGTCTATTATTGATGACTTGGCATTCTTTTACCAGTCACAATTCTGCACTCCAAAAGATTCTCTCTCTTCTTTTTTTGGCAGTGGGATGTTGCCTGGAAAAGAGAATGATATATAGTATTACAATTATGTAGATGAACACAATCCCAGCAACACTACGCAATACATTGCTATACTGCAGTACCTACCACAGCAATATCATGGTATAAATATTACTACAAATGTCCATGGTGTAAATCAATCATCAGTGCTTTTTGCACCCTCTTAGCTTCGCAAAACTAAAAAAATTACGCAACAAATTAGAACACAGTGATGTTTCGTGGAAAAACTGATAGCTGCTAATCTTTCAAGGTTCAACAAAATCTCCGGAGTCCTGATAATCGTACAAACCATTTTGTTTCTCACCCTTGTCACTTGAAGATGTGCTTCCCAGGGTCACATTTCTTTTTGTGCCTGTACCCCTCGATACATCATCTAAATGGCCATTGTTTCGCCCACAAAATATATAGTCCACTTGACAATATATTCTGTGAAGCGCTGTGAGACATGATAAGATGCTACACCGAGTGCAAGGATTATCATTATCCTGCACGTGCCAAACTATGCAGGGAGTAGCGGCAGGCTATTCAACTGGTTGTATGTCCTCAGGTGAGATCCGTACACTTTCCAGCAGAGACCATGGCCAATTCCTCCCTGTACAGGAATTGCACTAAGTGCAATTGCACTATCCTTCCTAGCCCCCCACCCCTCCTGATCCCAAGCACCAGCTTGGGTGCGGATCCCTGACTGTCCAGTGCCTTGGGATGTCCTCCTGACGTGAAAGGCGCTGTACAGATGTAATTTGTTGTTGTACAGAAAACACCTGCAGAGGTTAGGATACCCAAAAGTACCTGGTGGGGCCACAAAGTATTCCTCTACAACTTGGCTCGCGCCGCTGAGCAGCACCTCTGCACAGTAACCCTCAGTGACCTCGTCCACACGCAGGTACAAACATCTGCGGAAGAAAGACAAAGATCTTATCTCAACAGCAGGTAACAATAATGATAATCCTTACATTTGGTAAAGCGCTTTTCACGTCGGGACGGCGTCCCAAGGTGCTCAATGGGATATACTGCACAGTGCAGTGACTGTTTTTGTGGCTGAACGGAAAGTCAGTATGTCAATAAATGACCAGACTAGGGGAGAGATCATTAGCGAGGGTTGTGATCACTGATACCCAGCATGATATTACAGCAGCAGGAGAGGAGGGAAGCAAAATGACAGTCACATGCACACACTCACCCCACCCCAAAAAAATTCTCTGCTCTCTTACCTGTCCTCCAGGACTGAATCCATGGGCTCCACTCCCTCAGTGTCCACAAGGTGAAGCCGATCAGCGAACTGTATGGCCTTTGCCAGTGTCTCCACACCCTCCTGGTTCTGAAAATCTACAAGTGCCAGCCGTTCCAGATGGTCAATCATATCCGGAGTCACTTCCGTTCTCTGCAATTGTTCCAACACAATACAATTTACATTTATATGGTGTCTTTCACGTCGTTGGGGTGAGGGGGAGGTTTCAAAAGCACTTCACAACAATTTGGCCAACAATTCCTCCCAGGTAAAATTGGTCACTCAGTGACTTCATGGCTGTTTGGGGGACATTGCTGCGCGCAAACTGGCTACTTGTTTCACCCACAAAAAACAGTCACATATCCCGTGAAGCACTTTGAGACGCCTCAACAAAGTGACAAGGCGCTACAATCAAATGCAAGGATTATTCTTCTTACCATAAACCAGAAATTAGTGTCTGGAAATGGGTTGCCTACCTCTGGGAGTTGATGCTCCTCGAGCGCTTGCCAGGTTGGAGCTTGTGGCACCTACAGAGATCAATAACACAAAGCTGAAATGCTCCCACACTGACCTGTGGAACTGCACCCAGGTTGTTCCGTCGACACACAGACAAAATGCAAGGTATTAGCTTCACAGTTCTCACTACAGACTGCCACGCACAGTACACAAGAACAGGATTAGACCATCCGGATCACTGAGTCCACTTTACTGAATTCTTTTTGTGCCATTGTTTAGCTCTATTAATAATAACTCAACAGTCCAGGCTGCCGCTCCAGTAGAGTGCTTGGGGTGCACTACATTGATAGAGGTGTCGTTCTTCGCATGAGATGTTAAACCGAGATCTCGTCTGCCTGTTCAGGTGGGTGTTAAAGATCCCACAACCGTGACTAATTTTATTTGGGGGTAATTGAAAATGCTGCACACTGTCCATCCGGCGCCTTGGGACGTCCTCCCGACGTGAAAGGCGCTATACAAATGTAATCTTGTTGTTGTTGTGGAAACTCCCCTCTCTTTTTGAATTGTGCCGAGGGATGATGAGTGTCCACCTGAAGAGGCAGACGGCGCCGCAATTTAACGTCTCATCTGAAGGTTGGCACCTCCAACCATGCAACATCCTCCCGCCCACCCCCAACGCTGCATTGGACCTTCAGCTCAGACAATGAGCTCAAAATTGGTGTTACAATTGGCCTCGGCAGCCCAGGGCGACAGACAGCAGCCACGGTTCCTGCCCCCAATTGCTATCCAGGGACCTTCCACTTCCTTAACGGGAAGATATTCCCATTCCGGGGAAAGGCCCGGCCGGGGTCAACTTTGACTGCGATGCCCTCTGCAGTCGAACAGTCTGCTGCTGAGACTCACACAACTTGTCGGGTGAAGTTTAGGAGAGGGAGGGAAGAAAGGTTGTTTGGGGAACTTTGCTGTCTGCAAATCGGCTGCTGCATTTCGGCCACAAAGTACGCAGTCTACAGTCTATCCCGTGAAGCGCTTTGAGACGTCTCGACGACGCGATAAGGCCCTATATCAAATTTTTACAACGATTATTATTGTAATCAGAGGAGCGAAAATTGGAGGTAACGTTATTCTGCAGTAAAACACTCAGAATCTGAATCTGTAAATAACCACAAACAGAGAGACAGAGACAGACAGAGAGAGACATAGAGAGAGACAGTGAGAGACAGATAGAGATAGTCAGAGAGAGAAAGACAGGAAGACAGACAGAGAGAGAGAAAGACACACACAGATAGAGAGAGAGAGAGACAGACAGACAGACAGATAGACACAGAGACAGACAGACAGTGAGAGACAGACAGACAGATAGAAAGAGACACAGATAGACAGAGAGAGAGACAGACAGAGACACAGACAGACACAGAGAGACAGACAGACAGTGAGAGACAGACAGTGAGAGAGAGACAGAGACACAGACAGACACAGAGAGACAGACAGTGAGAGACAGACAGACAGACAGTGAGAGAGAGACAGAGACACAGATAGACACAGACAGACAGAGAGACACAGACAGACACAGAAAGACAGACAGACAGTGAGTGACAGACAGTGAGAGAGAGACAGAGACACAGACAGACACAGACAGACAGAGAGACACAGACAGACACAGAGAGACAGACAGACAGTGAGAGACAGACAGAGACAGACACAGACAGAGAGACACAGACAGACAGAGCGCGGCCGCTCACCAGGCCCCGGGCTCCCCTGTCGCGCTGCCCGGCCTGACCCCCGCGCTCTCTCGGCCTCTCTGGTCTCCCCGTTGGGGGCCGGTGGATCCCTCGCCAGGTGGCCGGACCCACCCCTCCGGCCCGAGGCCAGGCGGCCCTGTCCGGCACCAGGCGGCGCCACATCCCCTCCCGCGGCCCGACCTCAGGCCTCAGGGCGGCGGCGGCGGCGTCAGGAGGAGGAGCTGCTCCTCCCCCCCTCCCCCTCCCGGGCCTCACCAGCGGGGGGCGCTGCCGGGCCTCACCAGGGGGGGCGCTGCCGGGCCTCACCAGGGGGGGCGCTGCCGGGCCTCACCAGGGGGGGGGGGGGCGCTGCCGGGCCTCACCAGGGGGGGCGCTGCCGGGCCTCACCAGGGGGGGCGCTGCCGGGCCTCCCTCACCAGGGGGGCGCTGCCAGGCCTCACCAGGGGGGGCGCTGCCGGGCCTCACCAGGGGGGGGCGCTGCCGGACCTCACCGGGGGGGGCGCTGCCGGGCCTCACCAGGGGGGGCGCTGCCGGGCCGACCCCAACCTCAACCGGACCCCAACCCCAACCGATCCCCAACCCCCGACCGGACCCCAACCCTCAACCGGACCCCAACCCCCACCCAAACCCTAACCAACTGAACCCCAACCCCCAACCCAACCCCAACGCAACCCCCAAATCCCAACCAATTGAACCCAACCCCAGCAAACTCCCCCCTGAAGCCAACCCCCCCCCAAACCAACCTCAGCCGAACCCCCTTTCCTCCCACAAAGTACACACTCCCACGACAAGTCCTTCCAACATTTGAATGCATCGCTCTCTCTCAGGTACCACTTCACCGGCTGTAGATTCCCAACATTTTCTCTGTGTACATCGTGATATACGGTTACGTGGAATCACAGAATCTTACAGCGCAGAAGGAGGCCATTCGGCTCATCGCGCGTCCCGGGTCGGCTCTTGGGAGAGAGCTTTCCCAACTCGTCCCATTCCTCCGCTCTTCTCCCATAAACCTGCGATTTTTTTCCCCCCCTTTTCACGTATTCAAATACATACTCGATCGTGGGTTTTGATATCAATAACACGATTTTTTTAAAATCTTACTTCGAAGAGTTTGGTTTTGCGAAAACGATGGCTTCCTCTCTCCGCAGTTTTGAACCAAACCTTATTTCTTTCTTCCCGGAATACGAACCGTTTCGAACCGCTCATAACAGACACAAGAGTCTCGGGAGAGGTTTACGTTCATGACCTTTTTAATGCCCTCAATTCACAGAATAAACGTGTTCCAATTCACGTTTCTCAAAAAGTCAAACATGTACAAACAGCTCCACGCGTTTTTAATCTCCTCAAACCTTTGCCCGTCAGCACAGCCTCCAAACTCCCAACACGTGGTTACATTAATAATAATAATCCTTGCACTTCATATAGTGCCTCATCACATTGTTGAGACGACTCAAAGCGCTTCACAAAATATACTGCAAAGCGAATTGACTGTTTATTTTGTGGGCGAAACGTAGCAGCCGTAAAGAAATTAACATTTCTTGAACAATGTTTGGGGGAAGAAGTCTCAGAAACACACATAACCTTCATCTCCCCCTCCCCGTGTATTCTACTGTTTTTTTAAAAATGATTAATGGTACAATTTCTTTGTGGAACATTTGGGAGCTGGTGCTGAAAAGGAATGATGGATAGGTCACAGAAGTCTCAGAAAATACAGTACTTGGAATCTTAGCAGCTATGTCGAGGTGTTCCAAGTGCGTTTCAGTGCTTCAGACACATTACACAAGACAATTACATCAAAGCTTTATTGCAGATTGTAGCCTTACGGGAGGACTCTCTGACTGAGAATTTCCGGTTTTCTTTTGTCAGATGCACTCCGTATCTTGAGAATCCACAATCACATCAACTTCCAGACGCTGCCGCGTGAGGAAGTCACTTCTATAAAGGTGGAACAAGAGAGCAATCTCGTTCCGCTGGCACACCATTTGAAACCTCTATTGCCATTCAAAATAACCGCTGAACGTACAAGTCGATCTACTGGAATATATTAAAACTTTGATAGTTGCAAAAAACACAAATGTTTTTAATAATTTACTTATTATCTTTTTGTATCAGAAAACCAGGTCACTTTTATGTATTAGAGAAATATTCTACCAGCTGAGTTTTGAACACAGGAATCTACAATCATAGGTTACGTCACGAAGATTTGAACCGTCAAGTTTGAAATACAAAATTCACCGACTTGATTATGCTAAACGTTTTGATTTTTTTGTTCGCTTGAGAAATAAGGCTGCAAAAAGGTTAGGAAGTAAACATTTTTTTTTACAAAAGAGTTGTTAAACAGTATCTTATTTTGGATCCCACTGCATCGGATAAACGTGAGATTTCCTGAACGTGTATGTGGGAGTGTAAATGTTCTCTGTTGCAGCATTGCCCATTTAATGATGGGATGGAAACAGGCAGAGGCGCAAGATTGTTGGTCACGTTGAGCTGCTAGAGCTGGAGGACTTTTCTCGCTTGGGACCCATGAACTCCAGCCCTTCAATTGGGATATCCTTTTCCTTGATTGCTTTCTGTAATTACATTTTAAGCAAACATCAGTGTACAGAAAACACGCTCCAGAATGCTGACTATTAAACAGTGAACAGGCTGTGCTTCTTGTAGCGCCTTTCGTTGGAGTTAAATGTCTCAAAGCGCTTCAGAAGGTATGGTTGTCTAGAAATAAAATGAATACTGCTGTGCAGCCAAATGCAGCAGCTCGTGACAAAATAAAGATTATTTATTACTTTCATGGCTGTTTCATTCTGGAGTCGCCTCACCTCTTTCAATGTCCTTCTGAAGACCCATCCCTTCGACCATGTCATTTCCCCCCTCCAGCTCGGGCGCAAACCCTGGAATGTCCAGCCAGGCCTTGGGACACCCTCCCGACGTGAAAGGCGCTACATAAATGCACTTTGCTCTTGTTTGTGGGACACTGCTGTGCGCAAATCGGCTAAAAACTCGGCGCAGACCAGAAATTATACTCGTGACCTTCTGCTCTGTGTGGCTCGGTGCTGCTTGAAAATAGCCAATAAACCCTGCATTTCACGTCGAGAGGACACCTGGAAGCGCTTCACAGGATTCCACAGCAAAGAGTAGTGACTGTGCGTGCGGCCGTTCTGTGCAAACGCACGAACGCTGGGGGTCACCAGAGGAAGGTCACCACCGGCTGGCGTCCAGCTTTACAGCTTCCAGCGAAACCGCGGAGATTTAACCCCAGAAATACGTGCGGCCACAGAAGAAGGTCACTCGGCCCGTCGTGTCTGCCTGCGCGCGGTTTCCTCCGAGAGCAATCCTCCGAGTCCCGCAGCAAACCTGTGCAAGTGTCAGGGCGAAGCGGGGACAACAACAACAACAAACACGACAATTAGATAATTATTGGGGGGGAGGGGGAGAACAAGTTTGCAGGGCTGTGGGGGGGAGAGGGGGGGGTGGAGAGTGGGACTGATTCGGAAAAGCTTCTCTTTTCACGGACACGACGGGTGTCCGAGTGGGTCTCCTTCCTGCGCTGTGCCGTTGCGCCCCCTCCACGCGGGGCAGCGCCTCGGAGCGCTTGAACAGTGGCGGAGGAGAACAACGACGACAGCAACAACAACAACTTGCACCCGAGCACATCTCGTCCCCCTCCACCAGAGAGCTTGGCGGGAGAGGGGGGAGAGGGGGGGGTGGGGAGAGGGGAGAGGGGGGGGTGGGGGAGAGGGGGGAGGTGGGGGGAGGGAGAGGAGAGAGGGGGAGGGGTGGGGGGAGGGGGGTGGGGGGGGAGGGTGGGGGGGAGGGGGGGTGGTGGGGGGGGGGAGAGGGAGTGGGGAGGGGTGGGGGGGGGAGGGCGGGAGGGGTGGGGGGGAGGGGGTGGGGGGGAGGGGTGGGGGGGACCGGGGGGTGGGGGGGGGAGGGGTGGGGGGGACCGGGGGGTGGGGGGGAGGGGCCCAGGGCCCAGGCCTCACCTTCACACACTCCTGGTACTGTTTGAAGAGGTCGGCGCACGGCTCTCCGGACCTCTCCCCCTTCAGGAACTTCTCCGCGAACCAGCGGTTGAAGCACAAATCGTAGACGCGCTTCAGCTCCGAGCAGTCGGCGCCCACACTGTTCATACTGACCCGACCCGACAGTGGGGGAGAGAGAGAGAGAGAGAGAGGGCCTCGGGGTAGAGTTGACTCCACTTCCCTCCTCCGCCTCCTCTCCCGCACGCGGCGGCGCTTCAATTTGACGTCACCCGCGTCGCAGCGGCGACCTGTGCCGGGGACAGCGGCGCCATGTTTGATACTGGCAAACCGGCATCAAACTCACCCCCCCACCCCACAGCCCCCCCCCACCCCCCCACCACACAAACTCCCCCCCACTGAGCCGACGGTGGTTGATCTCCGCCTGTGAGTGAGTGAGAGAGAGAGAGGGGGTGTGTGTGGGGGGGGGGGGGTGTGGGGAGATACTGGCAGTCACTGTGATACGACTGAGGAGGAGGCAGCCATCTTTGGTACTGGCAGCCCGGGCTCCGGCTTGTTTGTCCCCGGCCCCTAATGAGCGCCCCCTGCCGGAGCCCCGCGGGTACTGACGGCTGACGGACGGCAGCGCCCTCTGCAGCCCAGAGCCGTCTCCTGCAGCCAACCCGGAGCAGAGCAACACCGAGAGGCCGCCCCTCCCCCCTCCCCCTCCCCCGGGGTGTCCGCGGCCTCGCTCTCTCTCTCTCTCTATATATAAACCCTTTTGCAAATCAGCTGCAAATCAGTTCGGGCAGTTTTAAACCTCAGCTGTAGGTTCTCAGGGGACGGAAAGGAAAATATATTTTCTAAAAAAATTTTATTTTTTTTTTAAAAAAAAGGATCGCCCGAACAGGGACTTGAACCCTGGACCCTCAGATTAAAAGTCTGATGCTCTACCGACTGAGCTATCCGGGCTCTGAGAGTCTGACTCACACCCGTCACTAGTTCAACACCAGCTCCGATCCCAGTGGCTCTCAGTCAGTCTCTCTGCTGCCACTGTGGGGGGAGGGGGGGGGCAGCAGTAACCACTGTATCGCTGTCCCCCCCACACCCCCCACAGCCCTCAGCAGCTTCAGCCCTGTGCTCAGTTGGGGCGGATGAGAGTCTGTGTATTATATTATTATTATTGCGCTATTTGTCAGATGGGGTTTAGTGACATTCCAACAACTTCCCCATATACACTATGTGTCCCAATGTACACAATGTATCCCAATGTACACAATGTGTCCCAATGTACACAATGTGTCCCAATGTACACAATGTATCCCAATGTACACAATGTATCCCAATGTATACTGTTTCTCAATAGACACTATGTTTCCCCATAATAATAATAATAATCCTCACATTTGATATAGCGCTTTTCACGTCGGGAGGACGTCCCAAAGCGCTTCACAGAACACACTGTAAAGTGAAGTGACTGTATATTTGTGGGCGAACGTGGCAGCCAATTGCGCACAGCAATGTCCCACAAACAGTCGTGGATTGAAAATGACCAATTTATTATTGTTTTGGTTTTGAAGGGATTATTATGTACACTATGTATCCCCATATACACTATATATCCCCATGTACACAATGTATCCCAATGTACACTATGTATCCCAATGTACACTATGTATCCCAACGTATGTATCTCCGGAACATCGCCAGACTACGGCACTACCTCACCCCTCACGCGGCTGAAACCCTGGTCCACGCCTTTATCACCTCAAGGCTGGACTATGGGAACTCTCTCCTCGTCGGCCTTCCCACCACCTCCCTCCACACTGCAGGTCATTCAGAACTCTGCAGCTCATGTACTGTCCCGCACCAGACACCGCGACCACATCACTCCCACCCTCACCCTCACCCTCCACTGGCTCCCCATCCCCCAGAGGATTGATTTCAAGATCCTCATCCTCATCTACAAGGCCATTCACGGCCTCGCTCCCTCCTACCTCTCCAACCTACTATCCCCCTACCTACCTGCCCGTACCCTCCGTTCCTCCGGCTCTGGTCTGCTCCACGTCCCCCGCCCCAATCGCCCTACCATCGGTGGTCGGGCCTTCAGCCTCTCAGCCCCGAGGCTCTGGAACTCTATCCCCCAGTGCCTTCGCCGCTTCTTCCCTCTCCTCCTTCAAGGCCGGTCTCAAAACCTTTCTCTTTGACCGTGCCTTCAGCTCCCCTCTCGACTCTCTTCCCCCTTCTCGCTCCCTCCCATCCCTCCCCTCACCCTGACCATTTCCCCCCTCCTCGCTCCCTCCCTTCCCTCCCCTCACCCTGACCATTTCCCCCCTCCTCGCTCCCTCCCCTCCCCTCACCCTGACCATTTCCCCCCTGCTCGGGTCATGACCCAACTGTGCAGCGCCTTGGGACGTCCTCCTGACGTGAAAGGCGCTTTATAAATGGAATCTTGTTGTTGTTGTTGTATACTCTGCATTTCCCAAGGAGAATCATGCAAAAGTTGCAGAACTTTTATCTATTTCTGGATCTTCCCTTTATTGACTTTATCCCCTGGACAAGTTATTGTAGCCCTGAGCAACCTTAATCAGAGGGAAGTCAGCTTTTACAGATGATCAAAAGTTATGATTTTCCAGGGCTTCCGGGTGCTGGATTTGAAAAGAATTTTTTTTCTCAAAGTTCATTGCTTTTAAATGCGCTACACCCAATTAAATTAGAAAATGGTAGTGCATTAGGAAACATGATAATAATAATCCTTGCATTTGATATAGCAGCTGATCTTAACTTCAAGACGTCTCACAGCACTTTACAGAATATACTGGAAAATGAAGTGGGCAAAACACGTTACCCTTTCACAATAGAGACCAGGATTTTGAATCCAGTTCACATCAATGATGTGAAATCTTGGAAGGGACTGTATTCTGGGTTTGGATTTTCTCTCTCTGATGATTCCTGAGCTGGACAGGTCCACATTGGGCCAAGGTATTGCTGACCAGATGACCCAGTGTGGCTCATTGGTAGGACTTGCGATTCTTGCATTTGATATACCACCTCATCACATCTTTGAGACGTCTCAAAAGCACTTCATGTTGTATGTTGTAAAGTGAATCGACTCTTTATTGTGTGGGCAAAACACAGCAGCCAATTGTGGACAAGTGTTCCATAAACAGTCATAGATTGAGTGACCACATTTTTTTATTTAAGGATAACCCCCGGAAAAGTGATCCGCTAACAACCGGGGTCCTATTTGCTGCTAGGTAAACAGAGGCATGTGGAGTAAGGAAACTTGCTCAATGTTTCTCCCTGTTTAATGGGATAAATCAAAGACCCATGTATGCCCCAATCCTTTATGTGGAAGCACAAAATTTCATCGCTCATTACAGGGAACAAACTTTTTTTGAGAGAAGAATTAAACATCGGACCCAAAAGCCTGCTCAACAGTAGATGCTTGAAGTGTTTCAAGTTATTTATTTGAGGATATAATATAAATGTCGATTCTCACCTTGGGAGTCCATACAGGATTGTTGGTAGGTTTTTCGATGTCATAGATACTCAAGAGTATTCAATAAAAATAATCCACCAATAGAAGGATTTCTTTTCCCCCTTTACCAGCTCTTTAATGTTACTCAAAACAGCCCACTCCTTGCCCCACAAAAACAGTCCCAACACATCAAACTTTTGTGTTCATTTTTATTATGGTGTTAACACAATTGGAAGATGGTCAACACTTAATTTAGTTCATTGTATTTTAAACAATTCAGCTGCACATACAATAGAAGGAAAGCTCCATGGAGTGGTCCACAAACCGGCAGCACCCAGTCTTTTCTGCTCCGACACATCAATCAGTGTTCATCATCCCCTTCCCATCCAGTCGGCAGAGGGTTGGTGTGAGAATTGTGGAAGAGTGTGTGGTTCCCATCTCCCCAAGGGAATGGCTGTGGAGGAATTGGAAAAATAAACTGTTCAGCACAAATAATTTTAATATTAGTTTCATAATCTACAGCCTCACATTCACCCACAAAATGCACAACTCAAGAACTTGCTGGGCAAAAAGACCAAGGTCCATCTAGTTCACCTTCCACTATCCTGGCAGTCACTTGACATTTTGTGTCCAAAAACTATATAATCTACAGTACATTCTGTGAAGCGCTTTGAGACATCTGAACGACGTGATAAAGCACTATAACAAATGCAGGGATTATTATTATTAACATCTGAACCCTACACCATTGCACAGGTAGCCTCTGTGCAGAGTTGCACATACTGACTGTGCTTCAGGTCAGGTTATTGACCCCTTTGAATTCTTTGCACCAGAATCACTTGCATTTATTGCCAGAGTTCCGAGAGCGGTTCCTATTTCTAGCTGTGCTGGTACATTTGGGTTATTACCTGTCTTATTTTCTTGATGGTCCAAACAAAACAAAATTGTGATACCTATTTTACTTTTGAGTCAGTTTCTCCAGCTTCCTCTACCCCCAAAAATCAATTTTGTTCAATATAAAAATTAAACCCCAACTATAACAAAGTATCCATGTTATTTTGTGGATATAGTAGACCTTACTAATTGATCTCCAAAGCAACTGGTTACTTACCCCATGGCTCTTTGTGGGTACTGCTGATATAAAAGGCAGCCACGGTTGCCTTTGAAATAATTACATATGAAGCCGTTTGGGCCAGACATAAAATCGCACTACAAAAATGTCAAGTTCTTTCATATCCAATAACTGTAGGTAGTACAGTAATACATTCACATCAGTTCAGGATTCTTTGGTAATCCCTTCCAAGGCCAATACTCACTTTGCTCCTAATCCGGAGGTGGGTATATGCAATAAACTCTGATCTTTCGTGAGAGTGTTCCTGCGATTTCAGGTAGGTGTTCAACATGCAGACACCGACACCGGGAAGAGCGACTACAAAGGAAAGTATCTTCCACAAACGAGCTGTGAAAACAAGTTGACAGAATAGATCAGCTGAATATATTTGGGACGCCGCCCCGTGTGAGGGGCTATATAAATGCAAATTATTTTTGTTGGATTTGAGGCAGAGAATATTTATCACAACAACTTGCACAGTGCCATTCACGTAGAGCAACATCTTGCAGTACTTTACAGAGATGGTGCCCCATACTACCCCCCACCCCCCGAGGACAGGTAACTGTAGGTGTGGTCAATAGGATAGCTTTTTTTTAAGCAGCTTTCAAAAGCAGAGGATTGAACCACATGTCAAGGCTGAACATTGGTTCAGTGAGATAGAACGTGAGAGAGGGTCACTTCCATCTTGTCCATGTTAAAGCTGAAGGAAGTTGATGTTTGATATGCAAGTGGTCAGAATAATAGTTCAGCTGAAATCGAGAGCACAATTGAAAAGGCAGATTTGGCTTTGAAGGTGGTCGAGGGGCAACCTTTGAGCAACTCAATGGCAGCCAGAAGGCAAGGGGGTACTTGAGAGAGATTCATGGGGCATTTTGCTAAAGGAGATGGTGGAGGATTTACCACAGAGGGGAGATCTAGGAAGTGAGAGAGATGATCAAGTGAATAGAGATGGCAAGCGCAGAAATGTTAGAAGTCATGTTTAATGACCACATTAAAGTGTCTGTGGATGTTGGTATGAGAGTTGATAATATGGAGGGCGAAGAAACCAGCAGTGAAATCAGCAGAGATGGGGCAGCAAGAGTTTAATTGAAGGTTAAAGTTATCCGAGATGAGGAAGTATCTGGTGCAAAAACAGAGGAAAGCGCTGTGTAGTTTGGGAGAGCAGTAGATTATAAGAATCTTGAAGAAAATGAGGGGGTTGAGATGTCCTCCTGAAATGAAAGGTGGGAGGATAAATGCAATTTGTGTTGTTTGCTTGAAACAACAACGAGATTCCATTTATAGAGCGCCTTTCACGTCGGGAGGACGTCCCAAGGCGCTGGACAGTTGGGTCAGGACCCGAGCATTGGGGGGGGGGGAAGTGGTCAGGGCAAGTGAAAGAGCACAAACAGAGAGAGGTAGACTCAGACTCATCGAGAGGTCGAAGAGATGAGCTTCTGCCAGAGTTGAGGGGTCTTCAAAAAGGGGTGACAGAACATGTATCCAAACATACAGCTTCAATGGTGGGTCAATGGTGGGGGGGGGAGAGGAGAGGTGAGACGAGAGGAAAAGGGGGTTGATATGTTGTCCTATTGTAAACGTTTACAATAAATTTCACTGCACAACTAGAAAAGCAGTGGAAAACAGGGACTTTTGCACTCAAAAACCTTCCAACATCTTCACCTAAATGCTGATCATTATTTTTGTTTTTTTTTGGGGGGGGAGGGGGGGGGGAGAGAGAGGGTCAGCCTGGCATCTGACATGTGCCCCAAATTCTCTCACTGAGCTGAAGACTGAATGGGTTAGAGTTAGCCTTCATCCAGGCTCAGGAACCAGACGACCCCCCAAAAAAGAGACCCCACCAGAGAGAGAGAGAGAGAGAGAGAGGAGGTGGTGGTGGGCCGGGGGGGGCGGAGATGCTGAGTTGGTTCAAACGGTTTGTTGTTGAGCAAATCACCTCGGACCCGCCCCCCGGGGCCGCGCATTTCCTTTTCTCGCAGGTTTTTTCTTTTGATTTCAACCGATTAGGTCGGGAGGTTCCCCCCCCAACCCCACCCCCGGCCCCCACCCCCGGCCCCCACCCCCACCAACCGCCCACCCCCCCAGGGCCCCCACCCCACCAACCCCACCCCCCCACCCCGGCCCCCACCCCACCAACCCCACCCCCGGCCCACCCCCACCCCCAACCCCACCCCCGGGCCCCCACCCACCCCAACCCCACCCCCGGCCCCACCCCAGCCCCACCCACCCCAACCCCACCCCGGCCCCACCCCCCCCACCCCACCAACCCCACCCCCGGCCCCCACCCCACCACCCCACCCCCCCCCCCCCCCACCAACCCCACCCCGGGCCCCCACCCACCCCAACCCCACCCCCGGCCCCCACCCCACCCCCCCCACCCCCACCCCCAACCCCAACCCCGGGCCCCCACCCCATCCCCCACCCCGGCCCCCCCCCACCCCCCATCCCCCCCCCACCCCGGCCCATCCCCCCCGCCCCGGCTCTCAGGCGCGGCTCTCGGGAGACGCCGCCCCCCCCCCGTGGCTCTCTTACAGCAATGGAAGCGGCGGCAGTCGTTCTCTCTCTCTCTCTCTCTCTCTCGCTCGCGGGGTGACCTTGGACCGACCCCCGGGTTAGAAACCAAACGGCGCCGGTCGGTAACCTCGAGAATCACCCGCCGCTAAAACGCGAGCCCCGGGACGGGCCAAGCAGGCGGTGCCCTCCCTCCCTCCCGAAGAGGAAGCGCCGGGACAGCGGCTTCTGCCACTAACGGAGCCCGAGGCTCGACACCCACAGCCAAGGCCCAACAGCCGCTCCCTCCCCCCACTGCCCCCCCCCTCCCTCCGGCTTCTCTGTCCCCCCACCCGCCAAACAACACCATCGGTACCCACCGCTCTGGTGCTCCGGGGCCGCCGCGGCGGCCGAGAAGCGACGGGACCCGCCGAGGCCTCCGCGGAGGAGAAGTCGCCCGAGACCGGTGGCCGCCATTTTGTGACGCGGATACGTCGCGGTGCACGCCGGGAGGGGGCGGGGAGGGGGCGGGGCTTGGTTAGCGGCGTCACGTGGGCTGGCCGGGCGGTTTGGTTTGGGCGGGTTGACGCCCGATTGGGCGGGTTTGTGCGGTGTCATGGAATTTCTCACGCTCTCTCTCCCTCTCCCTCTCTCCTCCCTCTCTCTCCTCTCCCCTCTCTCTCTCTCCCTCTCTCCCTCCCTCTCTCTCTCTCCCAGGCTGCAGGTTGGCAAGAGCCAAGGCAGGGAATATCTCGCCCGCAAAATATATACGGTCAGTTCACCTGACAGTCTATTCTGTGAAGCCCTTTGAGGCGTCGAGAAGACGTGAAAAGCGCTCTGTCAAATGCGAGGATTATTATTATTATTATTATTATTATAAGGCTTTTGGGGGACCCCAGGGTGTGCTTTGGGAGGTAATTCCTGGAGTTTAATCGGTTAAAGCTGCGTAGTTTACCATTGATATTGCCGCCTTGACAAGCTTTCCTGCTCTGCTGCCTGTCCAGCAGGGACCTGTCATAGGGCTTTGGGTTGCGGGGTCAACGGGAGCCGAATGGGAGGATTCCCTGCCTCCCAGCGACTGCTCTGCCTTTCCAAGTCCAGCCTGGCCATGCTGTCATCAGCAGTGCCTTGGACTACTGCAGTCCCACCTGACTCAGGAACTGGACGAGCGAGACCGCCACAGAGGGTGGACATTGCATTGCCTAACGTGTTACCTTTGGGAGTATGACATGTTTGTTGGAAAATTTCTCAACACACGTGAAACTGCATGTAGCCTTCCTGGTTTGGATACTCTTGGTGATGGGTTTCCGTGTGTGCCACACACTCGTCTGACCCCCCCCCTCCAAAAAATCCTAAATCATATTTTCTGCTCTTTCCCCATGACTTCTAACACCCTTTGATTGCATTTATTTAATTCCCCTTCTTAATCCCCCTCCCATCTATAAGTCACTCTCTGGCGAATCAATCCATATTCAAACAAATCTCTGGGAGAAATAAACATACACTTTTTTTAAAAAAATTCCTCTGTGAGAAACTCAGCGTTCGGAAAACTACATGTTTATAAATAGATCAATGTCTGGTGACAAATGCAGTGCCAGGTTTAGACAGGAATAATCATGCTGAGGTAACTGATTATCTTTGCCCTTGAAGCAGTATGCTGTAATTTAAGGTGTCTTTCCCTTCTTGAATTTTCTGCTCTCCATTCCTGAAGCCACTGACCCTTCGATGGGGTTCATTACCACAGTCATCCTCCGGTACATTACCTTGAGGTGGCTATTCTTCCTGTGTGTGTTGTCTGTCCCTGGCTAACAATTAAGGCCACTCACTTCACAACTATTTGTAGGACATTGTTGCGAGTAAATGGGCTCTCACCTACAAAATACAAAATACAGTCTGTGGATTTCACAGTAAATCCTATGAGGCGTTTTGAGATTACCTCGTGACATGAAAGGCTCAATATCAAATGCAAAGATTATTATTATTTATTTGATGAAGGAGACAGGCAGCATTGCTGTTCTTAATTCTGCCTCTTTCTTGCAGGGTTACTTTTTAATAATAATAATCCTTGCATCTGATCTAGTGCCTTATCACGTCATTGAGATGCCTGAAAGCACTTCACAGAATATACTGTAAAGTGGATTAACTATATTTTGTGGGCGAAACATGGCAGCCAATTGCACACAACTGTGTCCCACAAACAGTTGTGGATTGAGTGATTATTACCCCCGGAAAGCGATCCGCCAATCGACTAACAGCCGGGTTCTTACTTACTGCTAAGTAAACAGAGATGTGTGGTGCAAGGAAACTTGCCTAAAGTTTCGCCCTGCCTGAGAATGTATAATGATTAGGTGCATAAAACTTGGGGAGAATAGAAAATTGACAACTCCCCTCCAAACAAATAAATATCAACATGAAGAGAAGCAGATAGCTGTAATGCATTGTAGCATATGTTAGTGCAGTTAGCAGTGAATAGCCATTAAAGTTTTATTGCAATCTTTGTAAGATCTATGGGGAAAATAAGTGTTAGTCTTGGCAAGCAGTCAGGTTTGAAAGTTAACTTCTGATTGCCAATTGTTTGAAATAGTTTCATTACCATTTGGATATAAATCATTGCAGCTACTTGTATTTTCTTTTCAACTCCCCAAAGGCCCATATGTTTAATCTCATGAGGTAGATTTAATAATCTATTTCCTGCTTAAAATGTAACTGCTACCTTGGCAGGTTGCCTGGGCTCCCAGTAAAATAATATAATGGCCGTCACATTTAATATAGCACCTTTCAGACCGAGAAAATGTTCCAAAGTTCTTCACAGGATTTACCGAGAAATGTAGTGACTGTGCATTTTGTAGGTGAACCCGCCAGCTAATCTGCACATGGCAAAGACTCCCAAACAGACATGAAGTGAACGACCAATTTTTTCTGGAAGATTGTTGGCTGGGACATCGGGAGAAATTCGCTTCTCCTTTTCAGAGAGCACCGTGGAATCTTTAACGTCCACCTGAACAGGCACGAACAAGACCTCGGTTTAACATTTAATCTGAAGGATGGCACCTCCTCCAATGCAACACAACACAATCACACTGTCAGCCTGGGCTGTACATGTTCAAAGTCCCAATGTGCGCCTTGAACCAAGAGGTTTCTGACTCAGAGGCGAGAGTGTACCAAGCGAGCCAGGCTGATGTACAAAGGAATGAGAGGAGCTTTGGAATAGTTCCATTAGGTGGCGTTATTTGTTACCATGACGTGCTATGTCCAATTATATTGTTAGCTTCATGCCAGGTTAGGGCTGTGTTCGGCACATCTGAACCAGTTCCTGAACCAGTGTGTACAGGTGCGGACCTGAGCGCAGCCCAGGCCAGTTACCAGCAAAGTTAGTTGTGAGCTTGGCTCAGTTGGTAGCACTCTCGCCTCTGAGTCAGAAAGTTGTTGGTTCAAGCTCCACCTCAGGGCTTTGAGCACAGTCGTCTAAGATGACGCTCCAATGCAGGGGTGTGCTGCACTGTTGGAGGTGCCATCCTTCGGATGAAACGTTGAGCCAAGCTCCTGTCTACCTGTTCAAGATCTCATGACACCATTTGAAAAGAGAAGGGAATTTCTCTCTCCTGGTGTCCTGACCCACAGTCCTCATTGTCTTTGTGGTGTTTGTGGGACATTGCTGAGTGCAAATTAGCTGTCCCATTCGCCTACAAAATACACAGTCACTGCACTTCACGGTAAATCTTATGAGACGTCCTCCTGAGGTGAAAGGCACTCTATCAAATGAAAAGATTATTATTAAATCAGTACTGAGTTGGCAATCTCACTCAGACAGACCACAGACAACAGTCTGTGTCAGAAACATTCAGGAGCCACCTATTATAGTTGAGACACGGTGTTGGGGAAAGATTAGAGATGGTGTACTCTGCTCCTACCCATCCTATTCCTTTCAAAAGACCTGGCGATAAGGCAGTGTAGAGGGAGGTTTACATTTTCTGACAATAATTACTGTAAAGTCCTCTGAGACCTTGGATGCATAAAGCACTGTTAAAAAGGCAAATTCTTTCTTTTGTTCGGTTTCTGGCCTGTGCTGCACCTGTTTTGGGAGCTCTTCTATGTTGACACTGGATGGGAAAAAGGCAGAAAAGTATTCCAATGCTAGCACTGACATCTCTCACCTTGATTAGCTCAGAATTCACCAGCTAAATGCATTTTTTAAAATTAAACATAGCTTTAAATGACTGCATGACTCAAACAATTTGAGAACTGCAAACAATAAAATCGATCACAAAATACACTGTCACTCCACTTTACAGTATATTCCGTTAAGCGCTTTGAGACGTCTCAACTATGTGATAAGGCGCTATATTAAATGCAAGGATTATTATTATTATTCACTTTGTGGCTGTTTGTGGGACATCTCTGTCTGAAAATCAACTGCAAAATACCCAGTCCTGTGTACAGGACAGTAAAAACCTGTGAAGCGCTTTGAGATGTCTCGACAACATGATAAAGCGCTACAACAAATGCAAGGATTATTCTATTATTATAAATGCAAAGATAGCTTCTAAAGATCCCGGTAGATATTTCAACGCTTGTGGAAATCCTCCACAGATCCTTATTTTGTGACGTTATGATAAGTTGAATTGCATTCGTTCTCATTGCACCTAAGAAAGCCAGATATCAGTGTCAGGCTATTTCCACCTGGATATAATTAATCCAAGGTTAATGTCGCTGGAAAGATGATAGTGATAATTGCTCTGTTCTTTACCCATAGAGTATTATTTTAAAGCCGTTAGTACTCATATCAACCACCAGGGTGGGCAACGCTCCACAGATGTACATTGGTGCTGCCTCTGTTTCCCTGGATAGGAAATTATGCCTCTGTTTCTCAGTGCCATATAATAATAATAATAACCAATTTGTTTGTGTTGCTTTTACTCCCTCTGTTGCACCCCCCCCCCCCCATCCCCGCCACCCCCTAAAAAAGTGCTGACTCTCATTATTGGAGCACGGTTCCATGGGCACCAGCCATTCCTGTACCTTGTACAAGTGATCCTTTTTTTATGCATACGATGGGGTTGGACAGGCTGTTCCGTAGCAGAGAGTGTGTGTGTGTGTGTGTGTGTGTGTGTTTGGTTGGTTGAGGATGGGGGAGAAGGGAATTGATCACAGCTGAGATACCAGTCCTCACACATTAATAATCCTTACATTTGGTAATAATAATAATAATAATCCTTGCATTTGACATAGCGCCTTTTCAGGTCGTTGTGACGTCTCAAAGCGCTTCACAGAATATACTGTAAAGTGAATTGACTGTGTATTTTGTGGGCGAAACATGGCAGCCAATTGCGCACAGCAGCGTCCCACACAAACAGTCGTGGATTGAAGTGACCAAAACTGCAATCTAGCTGCACTTACTCAAGCAGGTACAGCGCCTTATCACATCTTCGTGACGTCTCAAAGCGCTTCACAGAATATACCGTAGAGTGGATTGACTGTATTTTGCGGGTGAAACACGACATCTAAGCGTG